CTCGTCTGGCTGGCGGGGGAGGGGGGAAGGCATCGCACGTGTCCCACAACTGCGCCCCGCCGCGGGCGTTCCGTGCGCGCCCGGATATCGTGCCGAAAGAGCGCCCGATCGTATGGCTGGAGGGGGAGGGTGGAAGGGATCGCGAGTCCAGGCTCACCGTGCCTGCCGCCGACTGCGCCTCGCCGCGGGCGTTCCCCGCGGGTGCCCGGATCGTCCCACGGACGACGGCCCGAGAGCCGAGTCGCGCCCCGAAAGCCAAGCAGGCAAGAGCGGCGAACATGTCCGCATCCGCGCCCTCGAGGTCTGGGTTCCAGGGCGCGGTCCCGCGGATACGTGGCCGCACGGACGCATCCCGCGCGGGGCATCCGCGGGAACACAAAACGCCCTGTGTCGGCGGGGTCGCGGCCCAGGGGCCCGGCCCGCGAGGCAGCGGATACGGATATTCTTGTCGACCACAATAGATCTCTGGCGGAATAACAAGGTTAGGAGGCAACTCCAGGGAGGCCTTCGTAAAACGATCAAGGGCTTGTCAGTCCGAGGAAGCCTTATGAATCCAAGAGTAAGCCTAACGTTGAGCCCGATGAGACAGGTCCAAGCGGGACTAAGCGGAATCAAGCAAGGTTCTGCAGGGTTCGGCTGGTCCTCGACCGCGGGTATACCAGCGCCGTCAGGCCCAGGCCCCTGTCGTGCCGAGACATTACGCCCGAGGTTATTTCCAAATACGCCCTGCAATCCTTTCGATGCCAGAAGGTCACGACGGAGGGCTCTTGATGGTTTGCGGAGTCTGGGGGCCTTCAGCGGGTCCCCAGGGAAGGGAGGGCAGCTCCTGGGAGGGCAGATTACAAGCTTTTGGGAACTTTGGCCAGCACAAGCCAAGAATCAAGCTGGACGGACAAGGCCAAGCCAGATTCAACGAGGTTAAAGCGGACTGAACGGGATTGGGCCGGTTTTCGACCAGAGATCTAGCAGTGACGAGTTCACATTCAGCCTCTCCGGAATTGCACCCTTCCTATGCGACCACTCTTGGGGTGAGAAGGAGGTTCGGGGGGGGGGAGAACCAACATGTCACTCAATCGATCTCACCATCGACCTCTCTATCGATTGCACTATCGATCTTACTATCGGTATGAATATCGATCACACGATCGATTTCACTACCGATCCTAGGATTCGATCCCACTATCAATCACACGATTGATCTCACCATCGCTCTCACAATCGACCTCACACTCGACCTCACTATCGATCTTAGTATCGATCTTATTGTCGACTTCACTGCCGATCTCACTATCGATCTCAACAGCGATCTACACATCGATATCATTATCGGTATAACTTGTTAGACTGACGACCTATCGGTATAACTATCGATCTCACCATCGATCGCACTATCGATCCCACCATCGATATCACTATCGATCTCACTATCAACCTCACTATTGGTCTCACTATCGAACTCACTGTCAATCGCACTATCGATCTCACTATCGATCTCACTATCGATCTCATTATCGATCTCACTATGGATCTCACGGGGCACCAAGGGACACCACGGGACACCGTAGGACACCACGGGACACCACTGGGACACCGCGTGACACCACGACACCACGGGGCACCACGATCGATCTCACAGGACACCACGGGACACCACGAGACAACTCGGCATACATCGAGACACCATCGGGGCACCAAGGCGAGACACCGCGGGACACCATCGGGAAACACGGGACACCACGACAGGACACCCACAGCCACCGCGCGCCCATTGGAGTGTCGGACTTTTGCATCCGAAATGCCGCGCCCTAGCGACGGCGGAATCATTCCTCTCGCGCGCCCGCGCAACTTCGCCTCGCCCGCACGCACGACACGAACGCGAAAACGAACCGATTTCGCGGTGGGGGGCTCTCCGTTCCACTGCGATCTAACCCCCTAACCTCCGAAGAACGAGTCCGTCCAGACCTCTGGGAAGCCACGTTGAATGTCAGGGATGGTTGGCGTCTGGCTCCAAAATCGGCTCAGGACCGAGAGACGGCCCCGGGGAAACGAACGGAAACCGTCGAGAGCTCCAGAGGCGGGCGGGTCGGGAAGGTTGGTCGGATGAGGTATGGAAAGAATGGAGATGATGGGCCTGCTTTCCACCACCACCACCATAAGATGGAGGGGGGAAGGAGGTGGAGGATGAGGAGGAAGAAGAAGAGGAGGACCCCCTCCCCCGTGTAGTTACTACTTATGGTGGTGGCGGTGGGGAAAAGGCCACCTGGAGAGGTCCGCGTCGAATTTCTGAGTTGAACCTGATCGGGACGTGCATTCATCGAGTCGGGCTGCATCGGCACGGAGCTGAGATCGAATCGGACCGGCCGCGACAAGACACACACACACACAACTGCGCCAGGAACGCATTAGACCGAATCGCACCGCGGGAACACCGGAGCCTCGCATTGGCCCGAACTCAGAAATATACCAGCGAAGCTTTGTTCGTTCATATATGAAAATTATCGCACACACCTCCCCGAAGGAGTGGAACTATACCCTTCCAAAACCTGCACAAAAAAAGGTGCACCCGTCACGCGACCGCAACGTCACGGTCCAAGAACACAGCACTTATCAAGCATTTGACAGTAAACTACAACACATGGACTTCAATGATTTTGAACCCGATTCCTCGAACATTGCAGTTTCGACGAAGACATCCTCCAAAAGTCGAGCCCCACTCCAACACGAGTCTTACGAAAACGGCAATTTCGCCTTAGACACCGTCCCAAAATCGAGCCTGGACGTACAACACCAAAAGTCATATATATATATATAGAGAGAGAGAGAGAGAGAGAGAGAGAGAGAGAGAGAGAAAGAGAGAGAGAGAGAAACAAAAAAGAGAAAGAGACAGAGAAAGAGAGAGACACAACACAAACATACATGCAACACGCACACACACACTACACCAATCACACCACACAAAGAGCACACACACAGCACTCACTACACACACAAACAAAAACAGCACACACACACACACGCACATCGCACACACAAGCAAGTTCAGCTAGCACACGTAACGCGCATGGACCACACATAACTCACACATATCACACACACAACACACAACACACACAACATACATAACAGCAAATGCCGACCATGCACCACACGCATCCTGCACACGTGTTTGCATGAGCTTGGGCACGCACGTGCCACTTGTATAAAACCGCCAGCCCCCTCTCGGGGCGCAAGGCTGCGAAGGTGTGCGCGACCTGTTGTCACGTGTTATGGGTTCTCATTTGTTGTTTGACATTTTGTCTCTCCAGTCCTGGCTCCTGCCTGCTGTTTATTGTCTGACGAAGGGGCCCCGCCGCGCCATCAAACAACCAACGAGGGGGAGAACCTCAAATACAGGCTGCTCCGGGCCACCCCATGATTCTCATGGCGACGCCACCGCGCGGCCAGAACGGTCCGACAGGCCTCGGAGATGCCCGAAGAGGGTCCGAGAGAGCCTCAGGAAGCCAAAACGCTCCAAAATGGCCCCAGAATGTCACACGATCGCCCCAAGACGGCCCAAGATGTCCCCCAAACGGCCCAAGAGGCTTCCAAGAGGCCTCCCCAGAAGGCCCCGCGAAGCACAAATCAACGATTCCCCTAACGTTTTCGAGCGTTGTTGGCCTTGTCGTTTTTTGGCTTTCCGACGCTCCAAGACGGACCAAGAGGTTCCCAACGTCGCCCCACGACGGCCCTAGAAGCCCCCATGACGGCCCAAGACGCCCCCAAGACGGCCCCAAGACGGCCCCAAAACGGTCAAAAGGGCAGCCGCCGGCCTCAAAGGGCCCTAGACGGAGTCCGCGGACCGAGAACTTTACTCCCGCCCCGAGAGGGCCCCATGAGGCTCCAAGACTGCCCCAAGAGGCCCCAAAAGGCACCCAAGAGGCCCCCAGGAGGCCCCAAGGAAACCCCAAAGATACCCAAAATATTGTTTCCAAGAAGCCCCAAGGGCCCAAGGAGACCCCCAAGAGGCCCCAAGGAGACCTCCAAGAGGCCCCCAAGAGGCCCCAAGGAGACCCCCAAAAGGCCCCAAGGATACCCCCGCGCAGCAGCCCGCGCAAGCAATTGGGGGAGTGGCGGCAGAGGGCGAAGTCTATACATATATATATATATATATATATATATATATATATATATATATATATATATACATACATACATACATACATACATACAACTATACGACCGCCCTGCGGGCGATAAAGAGGTTGGCGGCGGGGATTGAAATCCAAGCCCCACTCTGACTGACCTCCAGCCTGTCAGCTTGATATCATATGTTTATTTATCTCTGCCTCTCTCGCTATCATTCTCTATCTCTCTCTCCGTCCTCTCTCGCCCTCTCTCTCTCTCTATTTCTCTTGTTTTTTGTTTGTTTCTCTCTCTCTCTCTCTCTCTCTCTCCCTCTCTCCCTCTCTGACTCTCTCCCTCTCTCTCTCTCTCTCTCTCTTTCTCTCCCTCTCTCTCTCTCTCTCCCTCTCTCTCTCTCTCTGTCTCTCTCTCTTTCTCTCTCTCTCCCCCTCCACCGCAATGCTGACCGCGATGGCAATGATATCCCACCATCTACTATGCGACGCCATGGCAGGCGGACGGGACGCCATGGGGCGGCTTCCGAAAGGCAAGGACGCCGAACGCTCGAGCCTCGCAGTCTGCCGCGATCGCGCCCAAACGCCGAAAAAATGAATTGATGGATTGGGTTGGGTGGGTTGGATTGGATGGGATAAGAGGGGTTGGATAAGATAAGATGGATTGGATTGGAACTGGGTTTGATAAAATAAGATGGATTGGATTGGTCCGCCGCAGGCGCAAAAACAAATGAATTGATATATTGGGTTGGATGGATTGGATTGGGTGGGGTAAGCTAAGATTGGACAATATGGACTGGATAAGCTAAAATGGATTGGATTGGACGAGATGGTTTGGAGAAGCTAAGCTGGTTTGGATAAGAAAGCCCGCCGCAGGCCCCGACA